AACGTTAGGAAACAAAACTTCCAGAATATGGCCACACAGCCCGGAAGACCCACACCAGCCAACAATTGGTGCTTGTTTTCCCAGCATGGGTGAGAAACCTAAAGAAGCATTAAACATGGTAACTACTGTCTGGACAGATCACCTGGCCAGCATTGTTGCCAAAGCTGAAAACTAGATTGAAATCCAGACTGCAGTTTCTTATCCCTGCTTCCTTTCCAGCCAGTTTCAGCCCAGAAGACAAGCTGCTTAAGGCTGCCGTGCAGAAGAGCCCTCAGCTTCAATCAACACTCAAGCCAACTGAGGCACGGCTTGGGATCACACAGGCAGGGAGATTACCCAGACCTCCTCCCTTTTTGCTAGAGAGAAAAACTCCTTGCATTTTTAAGGCAAGGCAGAAATTGGGAACCAAGGTTGAGAAGAGAAGTGGGCTCATTCATCTCCCCAGCAGACTCAGAATTAACTGACTGGAATCTCCGGAAGTCCAGAATAATTGAGACAGAGAGAAATCCTCTTTCAGGAAATGATCTCTGAAAAGATAGATAAAATAATGTTTAGCTAGAAATGTTGCAAAATATTACTTTTTTATTTTGACTCTGTGTGTGCTTGTGGCTAATCTTTACTCCCTGGTATTTATGCAACTTGGAACCTCTTTATAGCAGAGTTGTATCTAATTAGGAGTAGACAAGGATCGTGTTGTGGTCTGACCAGACCCTTATATTTTTGTTTATACTTTCTATGGGACATCCTTTTAAGTCATGAGCTATAATTTGATCGGGTCAATATTTTTATCTTCTTTGCCACTGAATATTTTCCATGAGACTTCTTAAAGCCAAAAGGGATTTTTCCATTATCTCATTTCATTGAAAAATAATAATAAAGTTTGATTTTATTTACCTCTTGTGAGATTGGTCTGTCTCTCAAAAGCTGGGTGGGGGAGAATAGTTGATTTGCCTAGCTGCATATCTCAATGCTATAAGGCCAGGAGTTGGACCTATAGACATTATTACATTTTCTCTCATTTCTTTCCTTTTGTTTTGCCAGAAAAGTAACACAGGTTGTGGAAGCCCTGATTTTCTCGCATGCTGAGCTTAAGGGGAGGATGCCAGGTAAAGTGCCCCCATGAAAGACATGGTGGGAGCCAGAGGGTTTCTGGAAGAGAAGGTTTGAGATCCTCATCCTTCTACTTTACAAGCTTCACAATAATTTTACAATCTTGTAGGTCATCTACTCTTAAACTATGGGTTGTGATCTCCTGGGGGGTCTTGACCAAATTAGAGAGGGAAGGGTTATCCTGCATCTGCAAAGTGGGAATAAAGCCCCAATGAATTTTGGGACATGGCTAAATTTGCAGATCTAGCAATCTGTCAAAAAATGGTAGCAGTTTTATTAATTTTATTCATGGGGGAGGGTCACACAACGATGTGAGGAATGCAAGAAGTTGTGTGCAAAATCCTCATGGTGGTTTATTTTATTTATTTATTTATTTATTATTTATTAAATTTCTCCCCTGCCCATCTCCCCCT